CCGCCCAGGGCAGGGCTCCCAAGGAAGGACCCGTCTTTAGGTAAGGGGCGCTGAGGGCGAGTCCCGCGCGGTACCCGCATCGGCTTTACGCTGGCCAGAGGGGCGGGAGCCGGGACGCGAGCTGCCCGGACGTCGCCGCCGTCGCCGGCTCCCGGCCCGGGGTTTGTCACCGTGCACGCGCCCGCGCGGAGTGCTGCCCGGGACCCTCTGACCTGAGGGTCTCTTCCTCCCTACCTCCCTCCCTCCCTCCCTCTCCACCACGCAGGGTCCTTCCCGGTTAGGAAGAGTTACGCTTGTACTCGGGGTCCCGGGCGAGCACAAGGCTCTGCTCTGAGAGATTGGCTGTGGTCGAGGTGAACCCCTTCCGGGCACAGCCGCCTGGAGCCTCTGCGGGCCCTGCAAAGCTGTGAGCTGTCATTTTGAGGGCAGCACCAGCCTATTGTGTGCGTGACAGTATTTTGAAGTTGTGAAGGAGCAACAGCCACTAAAAAGGCATCTTTCTTCTTTCTTGCCATATATGACAAGCTCTCCAACGGATGAATGAAAGTATGTAATTTCCACATCATTTGGAACGTTGATGCCGCATGATGTGTGAAAAGGGGGAGTGAAATGCTTTTATGAAATGTATGAGATTTCAGTTTAACAAAGCTGATGCATACACTTAATAGATTCAATATTCTGAATACATATCTTTGAATAATCATAGCTAGCATTTATTGAGCGTTTACTCTTTTAAATGATCTGTGTTGAGTTCTCTCCTCCTCTAAGGACGCCATGAGAAGGATGCTATTTATTCCCATTTTACAGGCAAGAAACCTAAAGTCATAGAGAGCTTAAGCAGCTTTCTCAAGAACCACAGCAGTAAGTGGCAGAACCTGCGTTTTGATCTAAGCAGTTTAATCAGGAGTAAATTTCCCATACTATTCTGCTTTCAAGGGCTAAGTTATTTTTTAAAATGTCCCATATTGCCTTTCAGAACCCTTATGTTGAGAAGTTTATTTATTTATAAAAGATTTCAAGCAGTTTTTTTTTTTTAAGTGAGCATCCACTCCCAATTATGACACTCTGACAGGTGCTTTTGGCCAAAATGTCTTGCAAAATGTTTTGCAAAAGCAAGACTATTGTTTAATAGATCTAGACCCAGTACAATAAACCTTTTAAAAGTTTCAGGTGAAACTTTGAAATGAATTTTGGATTAAGTTTTATGCTTTGTGTAAAACTTCTTGAATTCCACTTAAAAACCCACAGTCCCTCACTGTAGTTATGTGAGAATTAAATAACTAGTATTTTTTGTGAGGGGTGTGTATGTGTGGTGTTTGAAAGGTAAATTGTAAGAACTGCCCCTTTTGTTTTGTCTACCATAGTTAAAGTCTCATATTTCCTTTAGGCTAACTGAATCCTTATAATTTGAGCAGGGAATTTTCTGCCTTGTACTACTCTGAGCACTAGTGATGCCATGTACCTTCTTAGAATGGTAGAATTACTTCAGAACCAGGGTGTGTAATTTCTTCCTCTCCTTCTCAGTAACCCAGACTGGATCAAGGGTACAAAGCCTGTAGGAAAAGGTGCATGTGTGTTACAGGTGTCTTGCTGAGGGCATTTAAAGGCATTGTAAATGCTAGTGGAGATAGTGGAGTTGTATTGTCATTGTTTTCTCTCTTGGCTGCTCAGTTGCCTACCACCACTTCCTCCATCTCTAAGTTTAATTGGGCATATTTTAAACAAAAACAATTGTGGTTATATTTAGGGCTTGCCATATTAGGGAAATTGATTCCCACTTTGTGGGAACATTTTCAGTACAGTGTTCTGACTTTTCATTGGTGTAAAATGAAGGACAAAAAAATTGTGCCACAGACTGCGTTTTTTTTTTTTTTTCCCTTGACCTCATTAGGATTTTCTGTAAGGTTTTGAGTAAGTGTTTTTGGAGAATTTGAGGATGGATCTCTGTTGAATACCTCACTTGATGAAGGCCCCCTTTTAGTAGTATCCTTGATTAGGGATAATCAGTGGAAAAGAAGGTGAAGTAGCAGATATCAGCAAAGATGCAGGAAGTTGGGGAGAGTCTACCAGTGCTCACCAGATTAATAAGATTAATAATGGACATCTGAACAAATCTTTCCTTCATCTGGCCTAACTCTTTAAGGTGTTGGGTTGCCCTCTGGGAAAAGCTTCCCAGAGAATTTCCCTCTCCTTACCTAAAAAATAATGATCCTGAGTTTACTTTTATATTGATTTTACTAAACAGGAGCTGGTGTGTGCTTTTCTGGGAAGTGGGTGCTTCATACAGGGAATTAATTGCCCTTGAGAGCGTACCTCATATTTGAATAGAAGTTAAGGCACAACCTATAGATGAAAAGTTAAGCATTCCTAGTGTGAATTTGTATACTTTATACATTTAAACACAGGTGTAACATTTAGATCTAGAGAATGAAAGGTCCTCTTATAATTTTGTAGGGCAGTTTTATAGCATATTTTTGGGGAAATTCTAAACAAAAGTAAGATCTAACTTTTCATGTTTTTTATTTTTGTTGGAGAGTTTGTGGAAGCCTTTTCTGTCTAATGTCTGTACTGGACTTTCACTCGTTATCTAAACTTTCCCTCAGAATTGATTTGCCCTTGACGTTTGTTTACTTTGGTGTACTTCCTAGTTCCTTCTCTGGATTTCTTACTGTTCTCTCGTTCCTCCAGTTTTCACATACTATATTAGAGTGGAAATTTGTTGTCCAATAAGTAGCTTGTATCACATGTCATTTTCAGCTCTTCATGCTTCCTGGCATTTCACCTAGAAAGAGGATCAATAGAGTCACTGTTCCTTCTTGTTTATTTTGTTCAGGATGAGCCCTTTAGATAGCTTCCAGGAAACAGGTTGTTAGAAAAATTTTTTAAAAATCAAAGGAGATTGAATTTACCCATTTAAGAGAGGTAGACAGGAATATAATATGAATATGGTATTTTTGAAGTTTAAATTCTGTCTTTGAAATTTGAGTGAGTTTTCTCTGCTGCTATTCAGAATGCTTTTCACTTTTAATTAGTTGATATACAAGTTTGGACTTGAATAATGCTTTGTTTCATAATGATAAATTAGGACAAAAAATTGACTTGTATAGTGGCTCAAGTCAGAAATGGAAGTGGGCTCTTGATTACCTTGGATTTAAGACCAGGTTTACATGGGATTTTATAAAAGCCAAAATATGTCCAGTGACTTACGCATCTGGTTCAAGTTTGAAGGATTAGCTTAAGGTGCTTTGTTTAATTTTTTCCATGTCTCTGGTGAGTTAATGGACCAGCTTCCACCTAAAATGTGCATGTAACAGGGAGGTGAAAAATATCTGGCTGTCAAATGTTTTATTGTGGACCAGTTAAATGAAGTGAGTAGGCATGAATATCTCCTGGGATGTGGGGAGTGAATAAAAGCATTGCAGCTGTTTGGTAGTTAGCGGTGTAAATTCCAGAGTAAACTCCACTCCTCTTTCCCTAGTTCTGAGGACCTCCAGTCAAATGGCCTAGTTATTGCTAATCCCCATTGTTCTGTTAGAATAACTTAAAGTAATCTGTTATAGGGTTAGTATAAATATAATCTGCTTATCATTGTTATCAAATAGCAGCTGATGTCCCTGTGTTATGCCTTGGTACTCCACCTATACAAATCCAGGTAGGACACCCATGGTTGCACCTACTGGAATTTACAATCCATGGGACAATAGATGAATAAACAACAGACAATACCTTGGAAACTATAACATGCATAAAAGTCAAACAATTGATAGAGAAAATTTTTTTACATTTGCCTGCTGCTCTTGTACTTGCATGGCTGAAGGCAGGACTGTACTTTCTGCCCACTGCCAGGTCCCAAGATGCAAACATTTCTAATAAGATTTTTCTGAGGCAGGATGAAGAATATTCTGGAGAAAACCATGATTTTTTTCAGTACACTAAATTTTTAAAAAAAATATTGTTTTAGTTGTTGATAGACCTTTATTTTATTTATTAATATGTGGTGTTCAGAATTGAACCCAGTGCCTCACACATGCTAGGCAAGTACGCTACTGCTGAGCCCCAGCCCCAGCCCTATGGTCAAATTTTTAATGCCCTTAAGATGTGTGGCACATGAATAGTAGCTTTGATTTTTTTTTTTTTCTAAGTACTTTCTAAAAGTCTTTCTGGAGAGGTCCTTGCCTGTGCTTTGGATCTCCTCGCACACTTTTTACATTATATCTCCTTGTCCTGTATACCAGCATACACCATGGGGCCTTATACTAATGATTTCTAGCAGAGGTGCAGAAGGGAGTTGTAGGTTCTGTTAAAAGCCCGAGGCAAACAGATTAAGGAGTTCTACTTCATGCACCATGTTGATATGAGTTTCAACAAAACTACATTTCCCTGGTCCTCAAGTTCTGCCATTTGTAAAGTGATATCATCAGTCTTATGTAATA